GTTTGATTTCTCTGAACCATGGTTTTCGTTTTTCCTAATTTGATAAAATACAAAGACAAAGAAAGTAGGGTTTGGTATCTTATATAGATGACGGTATCTTATTATTGACGCCGTGTGGATGTTAATACCATGACGTTATACTAAGATACCGTCATCTATATAAGATGCCAAACCTTTCTTTCTTTTTCTTTGTATTTTATCAAATTAGGAAAAACAAAAACCATGTTTCAAAGAAATTAAACCTGCAATCAAACATTCACAGAGAAAGAAAAAGGTTTTTGGATTCTTATACAGACGACGGTATCTTATTATTTACGTCGTGTGAATGTCCATACCACGACGTTATATTAATATTCACGTCGTGTGAATTTAAATATCACGACGTCGTGTAAATATCGCCGTAATAAGTTCTTGTTACGTCTTCTTTAATATTGTTTCGTCATTGTTTAAGTACTCTCGTTTTAAACATTTATTACGTCTGATGTTATGTTATTGCGTCGTGTAAAATCTTATCATACGTCATATTTTATAAATAACCGTCGTTTGTGTTCTTATTTTTTCCCGAAATATTTTCACTTGCAGGTTTGTTTATTCTGTAACCATGGTTTCTCAAGACCAAAGTAAGTACTCTGGGCTCCAAAAAAATGAAGGTAAGGAGCTTGGAATGGTAACTCCTCAAGACAAGCCCTTGAAGAAGATGAAGTTTGTTTCATCTGCTGAGACAGAACCAACCAGTACGACAACAATTTCTGAGGATTCAAAGTCAGGTCGAGGTATGAGCATAATGCCTCGTGTTGTGAAGAGAAAATTGCAGAAAATCAAGCTAGTTGTTGAGTACAATAAAAGGGGTAAAGGATGTGGCCCTGCACATACTGAGATGCAGTCCTACATTGGTGTGTTGGCACGCTCCAGAGTCCCACTTGTGGACAAGAAATGGGCTGAAATCCCCAATGATATAAAGGAGCAGATTTGGGAAGCCGTTGACATGGCTTTTGTGGTAGGTCAAGGGGGCAAGACCTCGGTGTTATCTTCTGCTGCCAAGAAATGGAAGGACTTTCAGTCTACACTGACGAGGCATTATATCCTTCCATACATCAATGAGAGGGAGAAATTAAGCCAACCCCCTGAAGTATATAAATTCATAGAGAAAGCAGAATGGGATGCCTTTGTAGCTTCAAGGTTATCCAAAGAATTTGAGTCTGTGCATTCTCAACATTCACAGATTAGGGAGAAACTTGAGTACAATCATCGATTGTCTCGAAAAGGATATGCTGGTTTGGAGGATCAATTGGAGGAAACCATGCCTGGGGTAGAAAATGATCGATCTACCTTATGGAAGAAAGCTAGACAGGACAAACATGGTAACATCCCGGATCCAAAGGTGGCAGAGAAAGCAAAATTAATTGTAAGCCTACACACTCTGTTTTAAATTTTTATTAAATTGTGTATAATTCTTATTACGTCTTATGTTATATTTTGGCGTCGTGTGAATGATATTACTACGTCGAAATGTTTTAAAAAAACGTCGTGAAAGATCTAAATCTGGAATCACAACTCTGTTTTCTGTAATTATAGCATAAGACGTCAGTGGTTAATTTTTGCGTTGTGTGAATGATATTACTATGTCGAAATATTTTAAAAAACGTCGTTAAATGTCTGAATATGGAATCACTTCTATGTTTTATGTAATTATAGCATAAGATGTCGGTGGTTTATTTATTGTGTCGTTTGAAATGAATAACCACATCGTTAGTAACTACCGTCATTATAAAATTTTAATAACGTCGACTTCTATGTTATTGTGTCGTGTGAAATTTTATAATACGTCGTTTGTTTATAAATAACCATCGTGTGTTTTCTTGTGCTGACTTTTTTATATGTCTTTGTT